AGATAATGGATAAATGAGGATCGCGAAACACTTCAACACGAAGAAAATCCCTACAGCTATTTTTGGGTGATCTTTAGCAGACTTCAGGTTTTCCTGGCAATCCACCCCATCCATTTCCTCTGTTTCAGGATTCCAATATAAATGACAGTCATAGAAATGATCTGTATAGCTGAGACATAGAAAAGAGCTAATGTTTCCCTTACAGAACCAAACCTCGACTAGAAAGTAGATGAAATAAGTCTTTCATCTAATACTGGCAGGTAGCATCTTTGAGGATCAGTCAAATTTACAGAAGAATAGGTCACTCCTCACAAATAACACCGAGAACAAGGAATTGTGACCCCCGTTTCGAAAGTGAGGTTAGGGAACTTTAAGAGATCCGTTGAACCCGGGATTGGGGCCTCGGATGCTCGGCAAAGGAATTTGTTTCACATCCCAGATGACTTTTGGCTGGACTACCTCCCCTTGCTTAATATGGGAGGTTTTCAGCTGGGACTCCAGTCCATGTGGTTGCATTCAGTTGCATTAGCACGTAGAACGTTTGTTGTTGATGTTCCCCTAGGCTTAATGTTTCTTATAAGATCCAAATCTGTTCCTTAAAAGAACTGAAGAAGCTGGTTACCAATGGTTCACGGGTTAGCGCTGATCTTACTAAATTCTCCATGAGGATTATTCTTACTCTTTTTTTACTTCACAGTTACACTTTGAATTTCATGCCAAGTAATTAAACTGCTGTTATATGAAGGTACACATGAAAAGGCCTCCTGTAACTGTAATATTTCTATGGTCAACACAATAGTTCAGTATTTCTGGTCAAAAATACACTGTATTTGTCTGACAATTTGATTTCATACTTGTGCAAGCGTACTGTATTCCATATTGCATACAAAACGAATTCGATACCATATTTCAAAAATACAGTTTACATGTGCATAATATGCATTTTCCATTTCATATATTTACATATTCCCTGTGATTTCATACTGTGAATCATATTGTAAATGTTTAACAATGATATCAATTTAGCTGTTAAATTATAACCATGTCTGACTCAATAAACTAGGCTTTGAATATTGTTTTTAATTTGAACTTTGATTTCAGAAATATCTTATCTTTCATCTTTTAAAAATATATGGACTATTACATATATGAGTTTGTTATGTTACACTGCGTTGACATTATCCAAGTTTTATCATCCATTTGATTTGGCAAATATTGTCATTTCGAGAAGCAGTAAATTTTTAATTTAGCTTTCAAATTAACAAATTGAATGCTTTGTCCACCAAGGTAAGCGATTTAAAAGTAATAAATGCACATCTTAATAACTTACATTTTTATTTAATTTTTAATAATGTATCTAACATATTAAATACCTTTAATATTTTCTTAGGCCTTTAGCTGATAAATAAATTTTAGAATTAAACAAAGATATTTTTTGCCTCGAAAAAGGAAATATTTTTCTAAAACTCACTGTTGTATTCCACTGGCTTTTGTTGGTGAAGTATTCTCTAATTCTGTAATTTTTTAATGTTTCCTTAATTTCTATTATGTCCCATTCCTATAATTATTTTCACAATATTTTATTTGTATGCAAAATCACATCTTTAAAATTATCTTTATTCTTGAATAGAATATATTCATTTTATGATATTCTAGGTAGCTTCAAAACAATTTTTTTTTCCATGGAGAAAAGGGAAATTTTACCTGAACGGTTCTAACCAATCATACTTTAATATGCGTAGAAATATTTGAAAGCCGTACATAATTCTTTTGTAATTTTTCAGATAACCAAGAAATGCAGTTGTAAGCAATTACTGCCTTATTTTATGCATAGTTCCATGGTGTAAACGATTAAGTATAGTTAACCTTGGAAGATTCACGACTAATACCCTGGCGAAATTGTAACATTTCCAGCAACCTGATGGTTTTTTTATAGTAGATTTGACCTATGCCTGGATAACATGCGCACTATAATTTAATGTTTTGAGTCTTTGTCGAACAGTCACTAAAGTTGTTCACAGTCACTAAAGTTGCTCATATCCACGGTAAATGCCTGAATATTTGCTATTAATGTAAAGAAATAAATCCAAAATAAATTATAAATAATATCCAAGGTCGACAGTGATTATGCTTTATGATACTATATGCCGCTGAGATACCTATTCCCAAAGATGGGAAGGGCAAAAATCATTCTAACATATCTAAGATAAGCAGCTGAGATCACCGCAAAAAGTCTCACAAATAGCAAATTTTATCGACTGGATACTCTATTGTTACTGAAGAAACCACTAATTACTGTTGGACTATGAAAACAAATACATCATTTATTCCATTTGTATTTGAGACATCACGTGACTAAATATTACTTTTATCAATATTTGAATTCCAATTTGTTATGGCATTATTTCTTAGGTATATGAAAAGATGAATTGAGTAATCGTTCAAGACTGTGATGTTTTGAAGCCAAAGTTTCGGAAACCGATCCCTACTAGTTTGAAGAAGCCAACTGCATTACAGTACCTGGAGTATAAACTACTAATATTCTAATTATCATTTACACTACTTAAATAAAGAACCGGTAGATGGACTTTTTGCCCATTCTTGATTTAACGACAATATTTTTTTTGCTTTATTGTTGTTATTACATATGTAAATCAATATTTAAACGAAACGCTGCTCAAAGAACATTCGCTTATCGCTATAAAAATGAATAACAGTTCGCGAAATCTAAGAGAGATATGCAGATAATAAAGAATGTTCCAACAGCCATCAAGAAAAATTACAAGCTGCAAAGAGGGACAATAAGATTAAGGTATAAAGAAGACTTCCAACTGGGACAATGGTTAGCAACACAGACTGGCGTACCGAGGCATGGGTGTTTGCAAATGTCTAGAGTCTGTGCGGCATGAAGCGAGCCGAAATTCCTATCGAGAGGCTGCTGGTAGGGAAAGATGGATGGTAGACCCGCGGGCCTGTCACATTTGGATGCTCTTCTTCAAAATTGGGATGGGAACTGAGCAAAGTCGTATTGTCACTTGTATGGTGCCCAAAGCTCTTGCCAAAGACAGGAGCAATCTTACCCCCTTGCCACGATATGCCGTAGGCTTGGTCTGATATCAGACAAGCACGATTACTCACAACAGCAACAAGTATAAAAAATGAAGGTAAAAGAGAGGTCGCTTTGATCAAACGAGGCTTGCAAAATTTCTTGCACTCCTATGCTATGTACACATTAATGTGTAATGAAATAATTGCGAATACTAGCAAAAACGTCAGAAATACAGTAAAAATATATCATTGCTAGTGTGATTGAAACATTTTAACTAAAAGTTTGCTTTTGATTTCTATTTTTATCTTTGTAATTACGAAAATTCACTCTTGAGTTGAGAAGTGGGACAATGAAGATTTAGGTCGTAGGGAGAGAGGATAGGTTGAAGCGTGTTGAAAATATAATCTACGTTGATAAATGTTGTAATTATGTAAAACAGACTGTATATAAAACGATTTTTTTTTGTGTATAATTATGTACAAACGAATTAGGTCTGATTGAGATATACCACAGAAATGAGATTAATTTTATTTTAACAACATTTGAAGTTTCTCTAGCACGCAATCAAAACACTGCCTATCATAATTAGCGCTTAAATACAATGTCTGATGAAAGCTATGTAAAACATGTCAATTGAAACGTTCACCGCAATAGTGTTATTCAGAATCGGAAGCAAAAATTAAGAACTTGAATTTGAAATCAATTGCACCTAACTATGAAAGTATTATCTAAGAGAAGAAACAATAATTGCAGATTTGATCTTATGGAATAAATTCAAATGTAAATCAAGAAAGCATTTCATAAAGTGGATGATTCGCGATAAGATATTACGGCAGGACAGGACTAAGTGTGGGAAGCACCAACACACCGCCATTGGCAGAACTGGTGTCGCTCCTTCCCACTAACCATCTTGAGAAGAACACCTCCACAGGGCGCACTTACGCCACGCTTCGGTGCTAATTGAAAAGTTATCATTAGAGCACACAGAACTTGTGGTACAAAGATATTACGACACAGTAAATAAAGTCAGAAAGGCTTACTTGAAATGCCTCCGGGGGAGACAAAAGTATCCTTTATATTCAACCCCATGAATATTTTGGCCCACCAGCGGCAGAGAGGTGAAATCTCTTAACACGGGTAGTTCGATCCGGAGTATGAATCCCGGCAAAAGGGCTAGCTGCATGGGCGTTTTCGTGGTTTCTCCCATTTGTAACGTATGTACGAGCCGGGTTTCCTTAGAAAGCCCTCCATGAAGGCAGATAGTCTTCGAGTGTTTTACCATAATTAAATAAACTCTTAAAATAAATAATTTTAGGTTTGAAAATTTACTAGAAAACTAATTTGATTCAATTCTGAAAACTGATTAACAGTAAGGTATTATAATATCTAATATTTGACAATTATTTACATAGAAATCATTGATATAATCACTGGCTTAAGTGGTTTAAGCATCTTAAAATCTCACAAAGAAAAACTCAGAAAATTTCTTGGAAGCGAATACTTCTATTCAAAGAAAGAATTTCTAATGCTAACAAGATTTATATTTTATTTTAATCAGATCTAATATTAATTCACTATCAATTAGATCAGAAAAACTGCGAAGGTGAAGTAAATCAATTATTTACTCATTTTCTAGGAGATTAACTGAATTTCATTGGCACTACCAAATTAATCATCAATTCATTTTCCACTTAATTACGTTTTTTCTTTATTTTTTGAAACAATAATTCATTTCATGATTCATTATAAAATAATCAACACTTTTCACAAGCTATTAGATCGGAAGAGAGGTCTATAAATTTCAAAGAAAACGAAATTTTTTCGCAATAGTGGCAATAATAAATTAATGCATCTTACAAAATCACAGAAACTTCTTAAACTGTTGCCATTAAAGGAAAATTAACTTGTGTATAATGTGTGCATAAAAAATAGCACTAATAAGAACTAAACGCATACTGAAAGTGTGTATTTATTTTTCTGCAATCATATCCGTATTTTACATTCATTCGTAGATTACAAATAATTCTTTCTTTCAGTCCTCTCGTACATTCTGGGAATTATCTTTAGAAAATCTTGCATAATTCCTGAAAAGAGAGAAAAAATTATAATTACGTTTCTATCAATGAAACCCATAATACAATCAGACATTTGTTATTCGTATATAAGAGAAGTTTTACTTAAATACAAATACACTAATAGCATTTTTAAAGCATGCGGTATAACGCCATTTTCAAATGAAGAAATGCATAATGAGATTTTAAACTCTGTTGATAACATTTGTTTGGGAAATCTGTCTCATTGAAGAGTACAGGAAACTGTTTTATCCCTAAATTTTCACTATTGCTTTATTCATAATATTTGACAACGCTTCATTTCATTTCAGAGAATTTCCTTAATTTAAAGTTAATTTTATATTAGAATTTTAAATTACTTAATCATTAGTATTATGCTACTGCATATATTATTGAAAGCAATATTTAAAAAAAAGGATTTGGATTTATTATTTTGAGATATTTAGAAAATTAAATTCTGGCGACTTTGCATAATTGCTGAAAATTAAAAATATTCCTTTAGCTTGCATTCGTTCGAAACTATTGCTTACTTGAATGAGATTTTAAATGCGTCTAAACTATTAACTTGTGATAATAAAAATTTATCAGTTAATAAACCGATAAAACGCTTTGAGTTTCTAAAATTTATCATTCAAAGTAATTTGGAATATTATCTTAGAAAATCTTCATGATAAAACTTCGTGTGGTAACTAAATGTAACTTTTTCTGAAAGAATCTGTTTCTCATCTAAACACCAAGTTACTGCTCTGGATCATGTTTTCTGAACTTCCAATTTTCTTACTTCCTTTGTCTTTCTAACTGGAGTTCGAAAGATAAAAAATAATTGCATATTAAAGATATATATATGCAAAAAAAAAAAAAAAAAAAAAAAAAAAAAAAGATTTCAGCAAGTTTAAGGAAATGCATAATACCATGGTGAAAGGCAGGAAGGATTTTAAACTGGTGACGAAATCATACAGAAATATGATATTATCCTCTCATGCGGTGGGATAAAAGCTGAAAATATCATTCCAGTGCGTTTGTAAAAGAATAATGTAAAGCATTTAATGCTTTTATTGCGTTTGTAAATAATTAAAAGAAGGTTTTCTATTGTATGACTTTCAATTTCGTATGCATTTAAACCATTTCGTGTTTTTATATGTTAAGTGCAAATTTTCATCTTTATCTTAAATTTTATCAAATAGAAGTTCATAATAGTTTTATTTACCTTAAATTCCTACTTACCTTCATTTTAATACTTATTTTGGTTTAATTTGAAATCTTAGTTATTTTTCTTATTTATTTCTATTTTGCTTTCATTTATATTACCATTTTGCTTTCCTTAGTATTTAATTAATTAGAAAGTGAAACCTTCTGCTTCGTTTTCTGGTTAAAATACTTTAAATAGAATAGAAGATTAAGAAGAATCTATTTAAAGATTAAATGTGACACAAGTTTATTACTGCCGCATTTAGGTATCATTACAAGATTTTCTAAAGTTATTTTAACTTAATTTAACATTTTATAAAAGACGCTTTACTCATAAAAATGCGCACATTTTCAAAAAAGAAATAAAGGTTTTCTATCTATTAAAAAACTCGAATTTATACTATTAAACTTTCATTTATCATTACAAAAATAAAAATAATAGTTTGGAGTTAGTTTAAGACGATTTTTAATTACTGTGTAAGGATTATGTTAATTTTATTAACAGTTAAATTTTAAGTTAAAGTTCCTTTCCTGTCAAATTCTTAACTTCAACTTACTACTTCCAGCCAGAACGTACTTTTGGAATCTTGCTGAATATTTAATGAGAAGAAGCGGTATTTAAACCACGAAGTTACTTACTGAGACAGAGAGAGAATCAGAGTTCCTGAATTACGCGTCAGCCTTTTTGGCCGCTCTCTCTCTCAAAGCTGTTTTTACGCTCGGCCGTACTCAGGCCCTTGCTAGGCTTCGTAGTAAAATAAGTTAAGGGGCCAACTCTAACTGAACCTTGATAGCTTTGGCTATACTTATTTAGTTAATCTTAGTTTTAGTTTAATTCTTAGTCTTTTAAGTTCAAGTCCAAAGTGCGGGCTTTACTTGTACACTCCCAGGCGGAGTTTTGTTAAATCTTATCGAAATAATAAAGGGTTGTTACCCTTCTCTCTTGTTGTTTCTTGTCATCGAACTCTAGCGATTATTCGCTTATCAGTTCTTAGATTACTCACTTCCAACATTAACTTAGAATTCCAAAGTGAGGTACTCTACAACTGATACCTTTTTTTTAAACCTAACTATGTGATGCCTTTATCTATAAAGAGAAAAGGTTTGCATTTCAACTTCTTTTGACTGGCAAGTGAACGAAGTTGAAATCCAAACCTTATGTATAGCCAAACTTTCATACTGCGCAAAATCTATTGTGATGATGCATTAAAACACTTTTAAACTTAACTCTTTTTACGATTACATATTTTCCATTCATAAATAGATTTTCCACTCTAGATGATAAGAAATGAGGAATTGAAATGGTTAGTATGAATTCTGACTCATGCGATACTTACATTCTTCTATAAACTTTTCTAGTCATATCCGCATCCGTAATATTACCATACGTATCCCAGACCACCATATCCGAGACCACCGAGACCGTATCCGAGACCACCGAGACCATATCCAAGACCACCGAGACCATATCCAAGACCACCGAGACCGAGACCGTATCCAAGACCACCATATCCGTATCCAATACCATGGTTAAGACCAAGTCCATTACCATGGCCAAGTCCAATACCATGGCCAAGACCAAGTCCAATACCATTGTTAAGACCAAAGCTTTTGTATCCGAGGCCTAGCTGTCCATAACCTAGTCCAGCATCTCCGTATCCGTAACCTCCATAAGCAGGTCCCAAAAGACCATATCCTAATCCATATCCGTGTCCTTGAGCTTTCTTGAAATATCTGGTGCTGATGCCATTTCCATAACCATGCTTAGAGTGATGTGGAATGACGTCAACGTCAACGTATGAACTGTAAGCAACGGCAGCCAAAGCCAATACGAAAATCTGAAAAAAAATAAGAACATTTATTGTAACAGTCATACTTTTTGATACTCTGCATCTGATTATTATATCAAGCACTGCGAAACACTGAAAACTGTTGCGGAAGGAGCAAAGCTGGCTTCAGATCAAAGTCTATCAAATTTATTTTTTATTTCGACTCACTAATTTAATTAGAAGAATATTACCATTAGCATTCACAATATATTATGAAATTTATCAATTCAAATAACTTCTGAATGGAACTTCCGCTCATCTTGAACAAAACTGTGAATATTACTCGATTATATCTTTTTGCCAAATATTTATGATTAAATACTGAATGAACAATTCAAAGTTATTAAAATCTGACTACAGTAAGGTTTCAATATTTCATTTTCTTTTATTTGAGTAAATATTGTTTCTTATTGTATAGTTACCTTTAGATTAAAACTTAAACGAATTTAATTATTAAAATGAGAAACAATACATTTGCGTGTGCTAACAACAAGTAAGTATAATTATTAAAGAGGGCTTTGGGTGTTAAAACAATTTGTTAAATCCTATTGAAAAACAAGCGAATTAAGTTGAAAACTTTGAATATATCTGATGTAGTCAATAGATAATATAGAAAGGTCATACAAAGTTGATTAGGTTACAGCACAAAGGTTACAGTTGATCAAGATATAACGAACTTTTGCAGTGTCAGAATAGATAGTTATTTTTATAGTTGATGATTTATAAATTAAGTGATAATTTTAAAAAAAACCTACGTGTGTACATTAAGGTCTAAGTACAAAAAAAAAATCGTAGCGAAAGCTTGACCTTTCAACTGTTTTAATGAGGCCTTATTTTTGTATAGGAGAAACGCTAAGTAAAGAAATTACTATTTCAGAAGTCAAACAACAAAAATCAGCGTTATATTTTCAAATTTTCACAGGACTATGTATGACATGACTCTCTATGGTTTTACTGAAACACCATCCTTAGCTGCAGAAACGCAAAAAAAAAAAAAAAAAAAAAAAAAAAAAAAAAAAAAAAAAAAAAAAAAAAAAAAAACAAAATTTTTAAAATATAACGCTGATTTTTGTTGTTTGACTTCTGAATTAGTATTTGTTCGGCGTGTTATTGTGTCTTAAATTACTATTTCTCAAAATAAACTCAATAATTATATCTATTTATTATTGACACACAACGTAGAATGGTAAATTTTTCGATGCCGAAAATCTGCAATTAATTAATTAGAATTTTCATTAAGATGTTATATAAAAAATTGCCTGAAGTATATGCCTTCTGCTTGCTTTCATTACAACTTAATGTATGTAAAATACGTATGTTCAAATTATGAAACAATGAAATGTTAACATTTTTAATCTTTCATTATTATGGAGTTTTAAATAACCTTTTATAAACAAAATGTTTTCGAGAAATATTTCGCAAAATAATTCTAATTGTTCACTCTAATTTTATTTAGCATTTTGCATACTTTAATATATTTTGATCTTCTCTTTAATTTCCCACACCGGCTGAACCAGTGCGATACGTTAGCAGATTTGTTTCATTAAGCTTTAATATAATCACGAAATTGAACCGAAAAGTTCAATTTCGTGATGTAAGCCATTTTAAATTGAAAAGTAGCTTATGTATCAAAAAAACTTTGATAACTATAAACGAATATCTTTAAAATCTTTTCCAAAAATTTCTTTGAAATTTACTACAAGCATATGTGAAAGATTAAGGCATAAGGATTTGATGGAAATGAAAAATGGGTACGTATTTTCACAAGAAATATTGCAATATTCACTGTTCATGAAACCAATAACTTATAAATAAAAAACTGTTGAATACATTTAAATCCTGTACAATAAAAATACTGTCACAATAAATGCTGCTTTACGTTAACTGCACGCAAAAGGTAAACATTCTTTTGATTTTTTACGTATAAAAATCAATTATAAAGAATTAATATCGTTAATTCGTTATAATTGATTATTATAACGAATTCCTGTCATTCCTTAACAAATTAATATCTTTAAGAAAAGAAGAATGATACTATAGCTACAACATCACATAGTTTGGGTTTAACTTCATGGAAAAACGTAATGTTAATAAGAAAGGTTGTTAGGGTAACCAAGCTTATGTCTAACCAAGGCTTCTGTCTAAGGAGAACTTAGTCTTAGTGGAGGACATTTTAAGAGAAACGGGCTCACATTAACACTACACTTAAGAGAAACAATAAGGATGACCATATAGCCAGCCCGTTGCTAGGAATTAGAGCCAGGTTGAGCTACCAGGTTCAACCATCCTATCTTTTGCCCACTGGTCGAAAGAGCGTAAATGCTGGCGTGGAGGATTTTGTAATTTAATAGAAGTTGATGTAATTTAATATGCAGATGGATTGAAAATTTTGGTTTGAACAAAGAGAAGTGTTTACATTTGCAAATTTTGAAATTTATAACCAAAGAGAGTTGATTAGAATTTTGTATCGATGAGAATTCATGTGTTTATTACCAACATACTTAGATATTTTGTAGAGTCATTAAGTTATATTGATGAAGGAACGAGAAAAATGTGCATTGCCTTCACCCGGATTCAAACTCCGGACTTCCCGAATACGCGTCAAGCTTGCTAGCATTTACATCGAGAGGGCATGTGGAAAGAAGGAAGAAAGTATCTTATAATTTAAGATATTTTCTTCTTCCTTTCCTCCTTCCAAATCTAACCAACTACGATGAAAGACAGTGATCTGTTACATAAGCTGAATATGTCTTCGGTCTATGTGAAGACCCCAGAAATAGAGAACAAAATGAAATATTAATTAGTATATTATATTTTCCTGCTGTCCGTTTTTTGGCAATAATAAAACCTTAAAGGTATCTATCATTTTAAGGCAACACTCTCAACTAATTTGTATGTTATTATTTGTAAGCGTTTTTTATATTAATATTTATTATAAATATAAGAGAAAAGATGTTTTGTTTATTTTAGATTTTATCAAGAACAAGGAGAGCACATCCAAAATTGCTTGCTTTGATATGTGCTGAAATGGAATTACTTTTCCGATAAAGTGCTCTTCAGCAAATTTTGTTTGGAAACTTTATCGAACTTTTCTATTCTATAATAGTATATTAAATATATAATACTATTAAATATACATAAAATTATGTAAGTTCTATAAAAATCCTACGCAATTTTTCTGTCAATAAATATTTCTTTGCCAAAATAATACTTAATATGTTTGGAATCAATAAATTTCTCCAAAATTATGCATGGGAATTATCATGAAAGGTTGTAACTTGAAGCAGTGCTCCTTAATGAAATGTTGCTCTCGAAACCGGAAATGTAATGAAAGATTAAAAGTTACATTCCTAAATTAGTTTGACGGTTAAGAAGCTAAAATGAAGATAAGCATATTTCATTTACTCATCTGACGACTGAAATCTTTTCAGGTGTTTTCATGAAATAGGTTTTATACAAATTAAACGAAAAGTAATGGTAATTTTCTTTTTCTTATGGCTGGTGGTGTGGTGTATTTAATTATGGCAAAGCACACTAGGGCTATCTGCCTAAGGGGGAGGGATGCCTTCGTGGAGGACTTTCTAAGGGAAACTGGCTCGTATACACGTTACACATGAGGAAAAATACGAAAACACCCATTTCTTACGGCTGGAATCACATCAACGTACTTATATAATTTCTTAAAATGAATTCATGTAACGTTTAATGAAATTACATGATTATTAAAGAATTTCCTGTACGCTTTCCTATCTCTTAAAATAGCATGACATCAGTCACCAAAACTCTATTCATACAGGTAAGATTCATGTAGATTTAAGATACAGTTTAGCTCACTTCACCCCTCTTAGCATAAAACGAGCAGGAAATTCGAAATATTTTTAGTATATTCTTTATCTAAAATTTTGTGTTGACGATTCATTTTAGAAAAGGAAACAGGCCAGTAAGGCAAGTGATACTTAGTAAACTATATATGAAACTGAATTCAACTGAGAAAGCAAAAAATTATAAGAGGCGAACTTTTGCAAAATGAAAATAATCAAGCGAACTGTTTCAAATAACAAAAAACTTACCACGATCTTCATCATGTTGAAAGTAAAAGCTGTCTACTGGAAGTTTCAGAGACAATACTGCTATGGGTCCTCTAAATGACTTTTATATCATTATCACGTTCCACTTCGGTTAAGAGGAATTCCACTTTCTCAGTGTCAAATTCCGGTCACCCAAGTTCGGCTATGTGTAACGATTTATATCACTTCGATATAAAAATTAATTCAATGTCAAGTTTGTTCAGGCACGACTAATCAACCCCATTTTTATGGTTTGTGCTCATTTTTCTACATTGTACCACTTTCCTGAGCATTCATTTCGGAAAATTTTCATTTAGGCGAAAAGAATAATATTTTTCTGTGTAAAATTAAACCATACAATTACTTTATAGTTTCAGGAAGTAATCTTAAGTAATAGCATTTTATGCAGAGAATATACCTTTAATTAGCCGACATTTCGTCTTATTTGAAACATCATACGAACCTAGCTCATGCTAGGAATAATAGTTATTATAATTATAACTGATGACGATGTTTGTTGCTGTATTCTTCTTATTATTATTATATTAATATACTAATAACAATACAGGATCTTCCAAAATAATTTCAGCAAATATGGGCAGTAAATTCTGTAATCAAAGACAAGAAAATGAAGTTTAAGACTGAAGTGATTGATAGCTCGACAATGATAATGCAGTAGGAAACTTCGGGGGTAACATGCAGAGCCTATAGCCTATAGTATCAAAAATATCAGGTAAACTTTATCGGTAAGTATACATTATAATAAATTTTAGAAATTTCGGACATCAGCAATAATAGAAGCGGCATATCATTATCACAATGATTATTATATAGGTTTCAGCTCCACCAGTAGCCAACTGTTTAAGACCGCTCAATGCTGGGAGTTTGATCCTAGGGTGACGACTGATCTCATATTGGCTGCATGATATACTTTCATGGGTTTCCCCATGTTTAACGTGAAAGCGAAACAGTTTCAATTAGAAAGTCGCCCAAGAAGGCATCTCAACCCCTAAGGAGATAGTGCTTTTGTACTCTGCCATATTCCAACAATCAAACAATTAGACAGGTTTCAAGATGTTCTGAGTATTGCGGACCTGTAGGGCAACATCTCAAAATGCTGGCAAAATTAGCGAGAAAAAAATTGTTTATTTAAAAGATGGCAATGTTCGCCACAGTTTTATGAAGTAAGAGGGTTTGCTGGATTCCTCAATTTTTTATTACTGAATATTTCTGAACTCATAAACTGTATATTTCACGTGTATGTTCTTTTTACAATTTTTGCTAATTTTCGACAACCGAATGGGGTTTAGAAGGTTGACGACTTTATTCTGAAATATTCTGTATAGTAACTGTAACAGATAAAAATGAATTGCATTAACTTATTAGTACAACAGAACTACAGTCTTGAAGTGTCTATAACAGCAAATCGAGATCACCTGCATTGAAGTCCTGTTATTTAAACATTTATACAGCATATCTGCTGGAAAGTGTAGACTGGAGTATGACAAAGAAATCTTAATCTTCTATAGTAAAGACATGAGACTTTAATCTAAAACTTCAAAGCATTGCTCCCTTGAGGCCTCCTTATGCCTGTCCTATGTTATTATTATATGCTTTTACACTAACTGTAATTGGTAGTTTAATGTGAAGCATGTTTGTCTAAGATTGACTTTTCAGTGGTGGCTTGTATCATCATGTCGTATCTTAAAATATGTGTATTTATTTTGTCCTTTTAAGCATCTATGAGATATCTAAAAATGTTGACTTCATGCGTAAATTTAAGGCCCTCATCGCTTGAATTTAGGATGTTCTGTAACTGGAAATGGCCGCAGTTTGCATTTATGTTTGCAAATAATCTTTGTACTAGTAATATCATTTAAACAAATTTATTAACTAATTATATGTTGCAGATTTTCTTTCTAGCATCATTATGCTGATAATTTTCCAATAGAAAATAGTCTTGATGAAAGTTTCATATAGCTGCATCTTATAGATTATTGTCTTATTATCACGATCTCTTGGAACTAAACATCTGCAAATTCAGAAAAGAGCTCGAATAAATATTTTTTGTGAGAATATATACAAGTAATATACAAAACCGCAAAAATAATTTAAATAAAATTTGTGTTTTAGTATTTTCTTTTGAACTGTTTTCATAACTAATTAAAAAACACTTCTGTAAGAAGGAAGCTAATTTTATTACATAAAATTATTCTGTTTGCATTACTTCTTAAATAAATTACAGTATATTCTTTTATTTTTATATAATTCATATAGGATGTACTATTTCTGAAGTGCGATAACGATGACAAGTTTCATTATGTTGCTGGAACTAAAAAGAATTTACAGAGAAATTATTTAACTTATTGGATTTGGATAGGTTTAGCATTGGCACATTAATCTTAACAACATTTAAATAGGTGGTAAAGGCTCTTAAGAAATTGTATATCCCACATTGTCTTTTCTGAAAATGACAGTAGTCGCAGCTTTTACGTGAACCATTTGGTTTAGTTTAATTGAGTATGGCAAAGCATAATAAGGATATCTAAGGGGAGAAATGACTTGATAGAGGATCTTCTAATGTAAACTTGGCTCGTATACACATTACACATAGGGAGAACCACGAAAATTCTCATGCAGCCAACCTGTTCGTTTGGAATCGAACCCAGTTCGTAACTACCACTGTTGAGCGATTTTACCATTATGTGTCGTATTATATCTTCGTGGATTTTGGAAGTGCATAATTGTAAAGGGTACACAGTGGGAGTTCCCGAATTTCTGTTCTACACAACTAGATTATCTAACACCTGTTAAGTTGCAAAAGTTGACAATTTAAATAGGATCCTAAATATGAGATAGAAATTTAAAATGTTTAGACTTGAAACTATCAGGAATGCTGTAGAGGCATCAAGTATTTTTTGAAAGCAGAAGGCATAAAAAATGAGCAACGCCTTCGACGGGAATCGAACCACGTACCTCTGGAATACGCCTCCAGCCTGCTGACCACTATACTACGAAAGCATGATAAGAAGGCGGAAGAAATACCTTACAAGGTTTTTAAAGAAAAAGGAAAATATGTTGTATGTACACCCTGCAAATGACCAGATACTTGATTCAAAGGATTTATCGGGCCATTGATCTATCTCCATACCGAAAACATTGCTAGAATTCTACTTTTGCTAATCAATAACCATACAGTGAAGCTTATTCTTTGAATATATTATAAAATCAAAGAAACACGAGAGGTTTTCTTTGAATATATTATAAAATCAAAGAAAAACGAGAGGTTTTCTTTGAATATATTATAAAATCAAAGAAACATGAGAGGTTTTCTTTGAATATATTATAAAATCAAAGAAACACGAGAGGTTTTCTTTGAAAAATTCCTGTTAGTCTGAACTAGCATACTTTACAACGAACTAAGAAGAAAACACTCTTATCCTTCAATATCGATTTGTCATCATCAGAACCATATCTCTAATCTGAAGTGTGGCTGAATCTGTACCATTTTTTCCTCTGGTTAGTTTTTTGAGTTCCTTCGATTGTCATTTATTAAGCAGATTTCAAGAGCATAAATAACTATAATCAATAGTAGTATAAGGAATGATGTAATGAAAATATTATGCATACTTTATTTAATTCAACTCACAATGTGAAAAATTTATTTGAAAATATTGTATCAAGGTTTTGACAAAAATACTACTTAAAATCATGCGCAAAGTAGATCACAGAATGATTATAACAAATAAGCATGAAATTTGTGAGTCATCTGATTTTTAACAGAGCGAAAGAATTTGTGATTCATCAAATCCCGCTATCTGTTATTATCTTTCACTTTGTGTCAGAAATGTTTGTTTTTATTTCCTCTTGGTGACACTACATTTTTCTAGGCACATTGCTATCCACTAGTTTACTAAGCCTCTCTGAATGACTAACTAACTTTTGGACTGCAAGCTGCTGCCACTGCTTGAGCCACAAGAATTTTTAGTTGATTTTTGAAATTATTACAGTACATGACATGCAATCAACTGAACGATTTGCTGCTTGAAAAACCATTCTGAACGTTTCAATATAAACATTGCAAGAAGAGTGATGCCCCTCGTGTACAAACTTCTGGAAAGTCTAAGTTATTCAAAGACAAATCATGCTCCAATAGTAATGGAGGGTAGGAAACGCAATTGTAATGCGATAGCGGGAATTGTTGAGGAATCACAAAAAAGACCACGCGATGCACAAGGTTTTATTTTTACAGAGTGCTGCCCTAATTGGTATAGTGGTTAGTGCTGCTGGATGCTATATTGTTCTTTGGGCTCGGGTTCAAATCTCGGAGAAGACATGGATATTTGTAAATTTATAGTACCTGCGCGGCATGCGAAGTGGATGGGCGTGCAACTTTCGAAGCCGTTCCCTAGGTATTCTCCACCAAACTTGGGACGAAGCTGGGCAAATACATACTTTCATTTATATGTTGCTCAAGGCCCATGTTAACAACAGAAGCAATGTTATCAGCAAAAATTCGTGAACTTCCTTTGTCAGACAAGTGAGATAAGCCACAACACAATACTAATGCGGAGTTAACAGTTATCTATCTAGCACATGGAACAGTTGAGTACATCACGTAAGCCCTCTTTTCTCCTTTACCGAGAGAGCAACACAGTGAAGTCTATCCTAAACTAATCGACGTTAACATGACTGCATCCAAAATTATGTAAAACCGATTCCTTCGAGAGATGTGCCATGGATGAAGACAGACAATTCCAACCCCTGAAAATGAAGAGATGGGCTTTGTCATTCAGGAAACGCTCCAGGCAACAAGAAGCACACGAGCTATCGGTTCATCCCTTCTTTCTTCTTCAACGCACCGTCTGGAGGTTCTTGATTTCGAACTACTTGCAACCAAACCATGCGAGTGCTCACAGCTATGTCAGCCTGGAAGGTTTGGTTTTGTTCAAAGATATATAAAAGAGAATGTTACTGACGCCTGCACAAAAATGCGGTTAGGTATACTTCATCAGAGAAAGTTGCTGCAATACGTATAAGCCGCATGTATGGGCAGTAAGAAATCATGATTCAGCATTACATTGCCAACAGAGCACCGGCTTGTCACCAGTGTTTGGTCCGT